ATTATTTTACATCCATTCTTGAATGGTTATAGTTTAAAATATTAAACAGGCAAAGCAGATTGTGGTAAACAACATACTAAGTAAAATGCTGCTATGCTCTTACTTTCTAAGTTAGTCTGCTCTGTCTTTTAAGCACAGGAGAGTGGTTTGCAGGTAGAAACTTTCTAGAAGTCCTTCTTTCCTTACTTTAATATTTGCAAAACATCAACTCTCACTATGTGATGACTCAAAACTGTATTTAACTTGGTACTTTTTTCAAATGGTATTAATAAAATCTGCTTGACTATGTTTTCTCTAGATTAAGAGCAGTCTATATACATTGGCAAGGCATTTTTAGGTCTGTAAACATGCTTTATGAAAAACGGGAGCTTGCTGTTGCTTATTTTGCTGAATAGAATATAGGCTTATTAATTGTAACAGCAATTATTCTGAGTATTGATTCAACCTTCATAGGACCTTTTATACTAAAAATAGAACCAAAAATATCTGGTGAATGAGAGAAATAATTCTTCACTTCTACCTCAACTGAAAGCCACTAAAATATTCAGAGGCCTATGAATGTGCATATAGAATGCTTATATTCCTCCTTGAGATTATCAGCAGAATGCAAAATAATCTGCTGGGTGTGGTAATTGATCCATAAAATTATATCAGAATTAACCAGTTGTGCTTTCTTGAAATACCTTCTGGATTACAAAAAACACTACATGCTGATGGATTGGAAAAATGAATAAAGTTTATGAACCTGGAGGACTATCATGGATCCTTTAAAAACCTCATCTGGTTAAGACAAAAGTGTTGCATACCCCAAAAGAAAGAGAAAAACAAATCTCTCCTAAGAAAGGCCAGGAAATGACAAGAGAAAGAGCCATACGGTCTGTCCTTTGGGGACTGCATGAGTGTGTGCTGTGTCTGCCAGGAGCTGCACTCACCGTCTGCCCAGGCACCAGTCAGCAGTGCAGCTCACTGCTGCGAGAACACAAGGACATCATCAGTGATGACAAAATAGCTTCAAAGCAAACCAAAACTCTCAGACCAAAAGGAGGCCAGGGAAGTGATTAATTTGTCTCTCTGGTTACTTAAGATGACTATGCACCAGGTCCATCATTCCTGTGCAGGGCCTTGAATTAAACACTGAAATTTTAGTGCAGACAGGTTGGAACTAGATGCTATTTAAGGTCCCTTCCAACCCAAACAATTCTATGTATCTAAGAAATACAAATACATTAAGGAAACCCATATGCACATAGATGTGAGTGATGCCTCATCTACAAAGGCATGGGGAGGTAAATTATGTAGAAACTGGTTCTGTTAGAGGAAAAGGCTTACACAGAAAACAAAAGACCAAGCATGTCAACTATGCTATTTAGGTGCAGGTTCTGGAGCATCATGAAAATGGTAAAATTATCTAGTAAGGATTGAGAAACAATAAGAAAACAAACAAACAAACAAAACCCCAAAACAGTGCAAAAAAAAAAAAATCTTCAGTATTGATCTGAATAATTGTTTTACAGTCAGGTAGCTTAGCTGAAAATAGATAAATGAATTTCAGTGATTTAAGGCTAAGCAAGTGTTGGACATCAGGTCTTACTGGGCTTGTGTTTTTCAATATTATATAAAATCCAAACAAGTCACACCTAAAAAGTTGTAACCACTCTCAGAGATGCTTTAAATACATACATTCTAGTTCATCTTCTCTCTCCCTCTCTCTCTGTTCTCTAGTCCTTCAATTCACAGTATTTAAACCTCAAATTACTAACACTAGTTACTAGTGTTAGTAACACTAACACTAATTACTAGTGCCTCTGGGCAGGTCATGCCTCACCAGCATTCAGCAACTCAGCAGTTCACCTTTACCTCACAGACTCACAGAAGGAGAGCTGACACCTTGCATGACAATGAGCTTGTGGAAGATCTAAGCTTGGCTTCTTAATGAGTGCAGATCTGATGCTCTACTCCTGAATTTTTTTTTTTATTTCACAGTCATGAAAGAAAAAGCACAGAGATTTTAATCCCCTCTTTGAAAGTTTTTCCATATTGCACAAAACAAAAAAATCATTGAAGACAATTAGTCTAACAGAATACCCACAAAAATCTGTGGATTAATTTTTCACCTTTTTTTAATTCAACCAAATTATCTATTTCAATAGGTACATTTCAATACAAACTAGATTTTTTACTTGAAATTAATCATTAATAGCTTTGGACAAGAAAGCAAATTTGACATATATTTCACATTAATACTTCTTTGGAAAAGAAGGGATACAAAAATGCAATTTATCCAGTCCAATTATATAAAATTGAATATTGATCTGTCAGTCATAGGCAGACAATCCAAGTAATGCATCTAGCCAGGAAATTTCCTAACTTTCATGCTTATATTCTTTCAGAATTATTGTAAAGATCTGGGTCTAGGTCATAGCAAGTGTACTTCTCATGAACGTTTCTTAACAGCTGACTATGCATATTATTTAAAAGTGGTACATTTTTATCTGCAAAGTATATTTCAAGATTTCTGAAGGCAGCTGAATTTTCAGAGAATCAATCTTTTAATGAACTGACTGCTCAAAAGCTGCATGTCTCATTACCCATAATTATTCCTCAAAGTCCAAAACTTGATGATAAAGCTGTGTCATTCCAAATTTCCAGCAGTTCAGGATTTAAATAGAAACATTTACAGGCTTACATTCCTGGCAAATATGAGTAACTATCAGACACAATACAGGCACAATTTCCCACAAACCATATTATATGCTAAAAGTTAGCTGCTCACTCTGTAACAGGCCATCTACAAAGGAGAAAATTTTTAAGGAATCTCTTTTTATACATATTCTATTTTATTCTACATTTTTGCAAGCATCTTACTTCTACTGGTGCTTCTGCATTTCCAAACTTCTAGGTTTCTCTGTCAGTAACAGAAATTGCTTGAAATAAGAGCATATCTGTTTACATGCCAATCCTTTAAAACTAAATTAACACAATCCACTTGATGTTACAGCTAGAAGTCTGACAGATACTTTCTGGTATTTGCAGGAAGCACTTAAAGCCTTCTAAAGAGCAGATGATTTTGAGACACCTAATCCTTTGTGCTCTAGCTGGCACATTTTTTCCTCAATACCACAGACAATTTTTTGTGTTAATTTTTTCCCCAAAGCCTTGAATAGGCTAAATATTGCCTTTCTGTTCAATGTCCTCTCCTCACACACTACATGACACCTGCTGCATTCAGCTGGGAGGCTGCTGCCATCTATTTATATCTCCAAATGGCAAAGCTGAATGGCACTAGGGCATGTGCTGAAAGAGCAGAACTAAACAGGAAATTATTTTTACAGTCACAGAAGAGCCTAAGATTGCAAAATTCACAATTTGGCAATATAAAATAAGGGTGAATGCAATATTTGAAAGAACAAGAGCAGCTATGAAGGAAGCATTTTCATTATCTGTTTCTATACAGCTGTATGCAGATTATTGTTTCAAAACCTACACGTCAATTGTTATCAATTATTTAAATATATAGCACATCCAAATTTATGAGATTTTTAAAAGCAATGTGTAGTCAATGTTTGGAGGCAGGACCTAAATAACATAATATCCTCTCAAAATCAAATAATTTAAATTCAGTCAAATTTCAAAAAAACTGAGAGAAGTGGTTACTTTCAAGGAACTAATAAACATGGTATAAAAATTTAATAGAAAGCCATTAGATAGGTATAGCTTTTGGTTCCTTTTCCACAGAATAGCTGATATTTAGTGCCAAAAGAAAGATTCCTTTCAAAGTACATTTTCTAAAATTTGCTATAAATACAGTAAATACTAGAGAAGTCTACTGACCTACCTAAGCAAATCATTAACAGTCAGACAGTTTGAATATGTGTATTCAGTAAGAGAAAAGATTTTTTTAATGACTGTTCAATAGGATGAGACTGATACAATTTATTAGAGTTTAAAGGCTCAATTGCAAAGCATCCAATGAAAACAGAGGAGAATAGAAAGCAAGGCACTTTTGACTGTCAATAAAGGCAACTGAAAGCATGACCTAAATAACATGAGCAACTGAAAGAGACATTTCCTGTTGCTGTGGTTTGGGAATAATACTCCTCAATCCAGCACCCCAGTGAGACTCTCCCAAACCAGCTTACTCACTCACCTCCTTCCCATTCCAGGACTGGATTTGGGGATTGGAGGCACAAAGGTGAAAATTACAGGTTAAGATAAGAACAATTTACAAGAAATAAGGTAAGAAAATGAACAGTAACAGCAACAATATAATTATATGGCAAGTAAAAGAGTACCAGACCATTTCAGTCACCATGCTCTTCCCTCTCAAACAGACCCAGAAATGAGAGCGTCTCCTCTTCCTGCCCCAGGCAAGTGATGCAAGATGGGATCAAATAACATTATGGTTCATCCATGCTCCCTTCCTGACTACTGTAAAAAATTAATCCAAAACTAAGATACATTTATGAGTTAAAAACCAATGTACACATTTTTCAGATTGACCGTATGTAGCTACAATCTCATAGACCAAAGAAATCAGGGATTCCTGTTTATATGACAGCTTTAAATAGATCAAGTTTTCATAAACTTAGAGTAGTTTAGAAAAGCAAAATAATTGAACAAAGCAGATAAAGACAATAAGCCTGGTTGGCAAGAGAACAAGGCATCATATGAATAAAATATTTTCAAGTGCAACATCCTTTGCAAAAATGAAGGAATGGAAAGAGAAACTGCATCCTGATTTAGGCAAATTGTGTGGAAGGAAAGGGATAAGGGGGGAAAGAAATATAATGCTGCTCAAATATTTCATATTTCTATTCGAAGACCAAATTTCAAAATAAATTCAGTTTAATACCAATAAACATTATTTAAAACATGTTTTATACTTCATTTGGAATTTTGGAATCAATCTGGGATTGATATTCATGTCACACAAAGCTTAAAAAAACATTTTAGGAGTTTGAGGTTTTTTTCAATTTTATTAAGAATCTCAGTTCCAATATTGCATTTCCTTTTTCCTCCTCTTGCTGTTTATTTCTAAAGTAAACAATAACAATAAGAACAAAGTTTCACTGTGTGTCAATAACCAACAGAACTTCCTTTCTGAAAAGGTAGCTAAAGTTACAGAAGTGTGCTATCAAACTAAGCACCACTAGCATGGAGTCAACAACTGCATTCAATGAAACACTATTTCTATATGCACACAGTCATTTTTATTTGCATTTCTGTTCAGAGAATTTCACTGGTGCCTTTTTTGCCTACTACAATAAGGTGCTTTACATATGAAGCCAAACCACACTCTCTTCCAATATGAAATCTGAATTGAGATGACAATCAAATGTTCCTCTTACCTCGTTTTGGAGGTCTCGTATAATTTTGCTCTTCCTTTCCATTTCAGTCTTCAAAAACTTAATCTACAATTTTAAAGAAATGTTGAGTCGGAGTTGTTGAGATGTAATAGTAAACACTAATTATTTTTTGATGCTTTTAAACATTTTGGAAAAAGAACAACTTCCAAATCAAAATCTTTGCTTACGCACCAAATTGGTACAGGCCACAGTCAAGTATTTGATAAAGCTAAGCATTCAGCATATTTACTAGAAAGCTTATAATAAAAAAAAGAAAATTGCATGTATGTAAATAGGCTTACTTTTGTTTTGTACCAGTAGACATAGTGTTTATTTTTCACAAGCTAGTTCAATGTTATCTTCAAAGAACTAATATTTAAAACAATATTAACTGATTTTCTAACAAAAATATTTTTCCCCTCTAAGAACATATCTATCAGAGCAGGTTTCTAACACAGTTATTTTATTTGAATGCTACAGTGTTGGTCCTAATTAGATAAAGACCTTGCTTCTAGTCAGACCCACCTGTGGAATTAAGTGTGTTATATATGAAAGCATTTAAATATGGTCTTTAGATCCTGCTTAAGTCAATGACTTGACTTGGAAAGTAGAAATTCCAGTCACAATGCTTGAGACTGAATTTAATCAAACACACTTTAAAAAATTATTCTTACAAAAGAGTTCTTTCAGGACTGAGCTTTAATCACAGCTTATGGAATACAATGGGAGGAAGGAGGACATAATTATAAACTAGGATTAAAAGAACACATTTCTGTTACTTTGAAGGAAGATGCTTTTGGATTGTTCAATTAGCAAAATCCCTATTTACCCTATGTCCCATGCTGTTGATACAAAACTCTACACATGGTCAAGGGAAACTACAGTTGTTCTGACATTGC